CCTGACAATATAATATGCACAGTCAGAGCTCTGGCTTTCTCTCTCGACAATGACAGACAGAAAAGCAAAGCTTCTTTAGTGTTCGGTTTACTTATTTAACCTTCATACGCAAATATAAGTTTAAGTTTAAATTGATCTATCATTTACATGTGATGTCTCAGCGGAAACATCTATTACAGGGCTGTCATGATAAAGTCATATATCTATAGATTCGTGTCATCGTCTAAAAGTGGAAGAATTTAAAGTGGCAGATGAGCGTGCACTTAGAATAAACCGACGATATCGTTCACTGGTGTGGAGATAATATCTTTATCTTTATAGTTATCGTTCTTGGTGTGAACGGGACTTTACTCAGCTTTTCATTCCTGAATGAAACCAAGTTTTTGAACAAATCGTTTGAATGAATGATTCAATGACTGACTTGTTTAGTTTTGAAATGAAATCTCTTATTAAACAAATCAGTTAAGTAAATGGCTGCTTTACTTACTCAGCTTTTTGTTTTTGAATGAATCAGTGTTTTTGAACAAATTGTTTGTGCATTTTTACACAGAAAAACAATGCAAAAACAGCATGGTGGAATGCAAAAACACATTCTGCATCAACGTCCCCTTATAGTGCTCTTGGAATGTTGTTTGTTCAATAAAATTCAAAGAATAGAACTAACTGTAATGTATCATATATCTGGCCGAATTAAGCCTGAACTGAAGCCAATAACTGCTAGTAACCATGTCGGGCTTTCTCACTTTCGAACCAAGTCTGAAAACATCTCTACAAAGAACAGCCTGTACAACAGAGAGGTGCATTTTTCGCAGATGTTGTTGTTGTTGATTCTGAGGCTTGGACCAATGAGATGCAAATGGGTGCAGCCACATTAGCGGTGGTGCATTGGTTTTGTTTATAGGGGACAGCAGAAGGATTATCCCCTCCAGTCCATTTCATTTGATCCATATGGCCCAAAAGGCCTTAGCTTCAGCTGTGCCACAGCTTGGGAGCCACGGTTGAGTTTGTTATTGTCCCAACTCAGGCTGAATGCAGTGCTACAAATCCTGACAATATAATATGCACAGTCAGAGCTCTGGCTTTCTCTCTCGACAATGACAGACAGAAAAGCAAAGCTTCTTTAGTGTTCGGTTTACTTATTTAACCTTCATACGCAAATATAAGTTTAAGTTTAAATTGATCTATCATTTACATGTGATGTCTCAGCGGAAACATCTATTACAGGGCTGTCATGATAAAGTCATATATCTATAGATTCGTGTCATCGTCTAAAAGTGGACCTCTCTCTCTCTCTCGGTCTCTCTCCTCTCATGAGCAGGAGCTGAGCAGAGCGATTTACAGGCTGTCGGGTTGGCTTTGTTCCCGTGTAAGTCAAGTCTCGGTGGAGAAGAGACGCATCAGTGCTCCAAATGGCCCCAGCCGTCTCATTGCATTATCTTCAAATGGCACGTCTGATGGAGAAGTTAGAGAACAGCTCTCCTAGCTTCTCTTATTTAGATATGCCTCCCTTATTAACATGTAACGCACCTAGATTGTCCTGTGTATCTTTGTGTTAACCAAAATTTAACGTTTTCTTAAGTACAAGACCCTGGTCTTGGGGATTTGTGGTTGTTTATGGGTTTTTGTGCCATGTGATGTCCTCTAAGAAATCTTCATATGGATTCATAGGGTTCTGGGTGCCTTCTCATTGATAAAACATCAACAATGCGTTAATACTGGGTCACCTATTATAGAGGGAGATTATGAGGAAGCATTAAAAGCTTTCGAGCAGAAGAGGTGAGAGAATCAACTCCTTATTCTGCCAGCGGGGTAAAGGAGCTCTGCACATGAAAGCTTGTTGATAATTTCATGAATGCCTGCACTGAAACACACACACACACACACACACACACACACACACACACACACACACACACACAAACACTTGTATATGTGGTCATTTGTATATGGTTACATTTATGAACGCATATACTGTGTGTTTCTGTGTGTGTATCTGATAAAAAATACAGTAAAACAGTACAAATTATTACATTTAAAATAATTGGGATGCCAAAGCCTATTTACTCCAGTCCTCAGTGTCACATGATCCTTCAGAAATCACCTGAACAATATCTTAAAATATTTGAATGATTGAACTATCCATATAAACTTTGAATGAATACTTATAAAACTAATTTTTGCTAATAAAATGTTATTTAATACAAAACAATGTCAACTTAATTTGTTTGTGATTTTCAGTGCTTTAAATATATTTCAGAGAATTGTAATGTATAATGAGAGCACTTGGTCTGAATAATATGAAGCCACGGACAGATAACTTTGACTGACATGAAGCCTCACTGGTGCCTGACTAATTGACAGTGTAAATATTGTCAAGCATTAACTTTTTCATGTGAAAGTGACTGAACGACAGCCTGCTCGGCCTTCAGGTTCTCCAAGCAATTTATCATCCTTATCTTCACTGGGGTAATTCATCTAGCTGAACAGAGAAAATATGTTTACACTGGTTCTTATAGGAAAGACATCTTGATATTCCCCTTTTCTAAATTACTTGTCAAGCAAGGTGTGTCAGCAGACGGAGGTGAAATGACAACATTTTCTCCCCACAATTTCTCCCAATTTAACTCTTTCACAATGCTCCTACTTGCCTGACATGGAGGTTTTACTGTCTCTGCTAACCCTTTGTTTGAAAAAAAAAAAATGAAATGAAATATTATACATCTATTAAAAGAAAACACAACAGTTTTATATGCAACAGAATGAGAGTAATCTAATACTAGTCTTATGAGTCCTTGTTGTTGCTAGGTACAATATTTTTAGTACAACAATTATATCGAGTTAATTATATCTCAGATAGCAATTAATGGAATATAATTATCCACCACATACAACCGCAAAACCTTCCAAGGCTGACAGATATCAGGTGTCAAGAGTGTAATGAAATCATATTAAAACAGATTTATAAACATATTCTGTGTTTAAATATTATAGTCTATCGTAGACCATATTTTCTGACTAGAAAGCTGCACATGTACAGCTTTTACAGCTGTGCACTAATCTAACCATGAAGTTATTCTGCAAATTTAAATGATGACCAATGATTTTTGCACATAAAAAGGCACCAGATATGATTCAGTAGTACAATTTTATTTAAAACTAAAAAAGTCAGCAAGTTGCAATTAAATTATTTCAATGCACAATATATAATAGTTTTACATTTTGGTATGTGATGCATACATTGTGCAACAACCTCTGATTACTCAAATATACATTAATGGCTTGTTCCAGACAAACAATAACACTTATTCTGTTCTGACGACACATCGACTTATACTTATCCCTATAAACATTTTCTCTTACTCTGTACACACAATAGACTGTCAAGAAGGCAAATATTGATATGTACATTCATGCAATACAATTCTGAGTACCTTATTCAGTATATTATGTACAGTATAATACACATATATCTTCAGTTCATATATTTTGTTGAACGGGTGAATGACTGTACAGTAGATTGTGAGAATGTTTTACAGAATAAGAAGAGTGATATTTGTTCACACAAGCTTGTATGTTATGTAAACATCATTGCTCAGTTGTATATGGTTGTATATTATGATTCATAGTTCAGTGTTACTATGCATGAACAGTGCATCACTTTTTTTTTTTACAACAAGCTCCTGTCTATAAAAAAGAGGGGGAGGTGCGGATCTAGACACGTTTGATATACAGTTCCAATGAAAAATAAATGAAACAATAGAGAGGATCTAGAGTGATACAAGCTAAATTTAGGGTTAAGCTTGTTTCATGAATCACCTTGATACATCTTTAAAGCATCCACTAACCCACATAAAATCACAGTATTAATGACTTTAAAAATAGCTTTAAACCATCTTCGTAAAAGCTTGTAACATCCTAGTTCTTACGAGTTGCCAAAAAAGGTCAAGAAGAGACTTGACGTGACTCTAGAATGATTTGCAAACATTCCAAAGAGATGGACCACAAATGTTGACGTGAATCACTAATCAAATCACTGTTTTCTGTTATATTAGCCATACTGATTTGAGGAAATGACTGACCAATGTAAAATCTATATATTTCCTAGAATGGAACTTGTTGCACCTATTATGATTTTTAAAATCAATTATTCATCTCAAAATAAAGAGTTATCCATATTTCATACTGTATATAATGTTGTCTACGCATCCAAACATTGCTTTGACATTCACAAAACCTAACAATTTTAGTTTGTGTTGCATTTTATTTTTGGACAAAATAGTACAGATTTTAATATCGGCTATTTATCAGCCATAACATGTAATTATTCATCAATCCATCCCTCAAACTAATCCATCATGCCTGTTGTTGTTTTTTAATGTATTTATAATTCGATCTCTTTCACGTGTGGGCTACACCATCAGACAAATTTGAATACAAATGTATAGAACGATCAGACTACAATCTGCTAACTATCAGCAATGCTAACTCTAGCCTTGTGTTTTTTTGTATTCTAAACATGCACCTCAAGAACTCAATCCTTTCCAATTGCATAGTAACACAAACCGCAATAAATTTCTGGGTGTTTAAGGGAAACATTTCTTAATCTCCATTGTATATTTTAGTACACAAAATACAGGATCATCCAATCCCATTTGTTGATTGTATCAAAACAATGGGGCCAATGCAGTCATTTAACCATTAAACACTCACACAATCTACATGAGGTGAGAGAACCCTTAATGTTTAATGAGGAACACTGCAAAGACAGAGTTAAAGACAAGAGAAGACAGGAATTTTAAAACATCATTGCATTCAACAGAAAGTGCATGCGTTTATTTAGTTGTTGGTGTTGTATATTGTCCTCAAAGGGGCCCGGGGGGCCGCCAGGTTGAGTCTCGTGATACTTGTGCAGCTGCCAGCATCGCTAAGAATTTCCATGTCTCCTCAAAACCTGCTTATACTTGCCTATACACGTCAGTCATTACGTATTCACTTTTGTCTTTTCTTTAAACATCATTAATGTCCCAAGAAGGGCAGCCGTGAGCTTTACCATTCCTAAATTCATAAGATACCTTGTGTCCATCTCATAAACCCAAACAGAGATGGTGGTGCTGTAGGGTACAGAATGTTCAGCTGTAGCATGGCCGCTATACTCCAGTGTTATTGGTTTCCACTACCTGCTGTTTACAGCGTGAGCTCATGGCATACTCCCCTCGGCTTGTGCCGTTCTCTTCTTTTCGAAGGGGTTTCCTGGAAAAGAGAACAAAAAGATTAAGCTTCAAACGACTATTTTTGCTCAGACTGAGGATGCTATTGATCGGGTTGTAGAGGTTGTCTCAAAGGCAAACAGAAAAACTAGGAAAGGAAAACAAAGAGTACTTCTAGCAGGTTAAATCTGAATTAAGTTTTTTTCTGCGCACCATATTTGTTCTATTTTACAATCAATGTTTCAGGAAGCCCGAGTGCACACTTTTAGATGTCTGGGTTGATAAACAGCAGCACAGGTCATCAAAGTGAGTTATTCTGCAGTTTAAATTACTTCCCGCAAGCCGTAATGGCTGCTGGACTTAAAAAGCTGTGGTATGCGATCTGGCCTGTCCGTTCTTTATTACGATTTGAAATATGCAACCTGCCTGCAGCGAATTGCCTTCATAACTGCATTAAAATCCAGAGCTGCCCAAACAGCGGAGCACGCAGATCCAATCTGTTGATATTTTGTTAAATCATGTCAGTCACATATTGACTTAATGGTAGAGAGGGCCTGAGGTAAGGTAAGAGCTGAGAGATGGATGCTGGGGATTCACATTTTGTAAGATGCCAAAATTAATATCAGTAAAGGTTTCAATTAGTTGGGGCATATTTAATGCTTCAGCTTTTGCAAAGTAAGACTGTACAGAAAGGGGCCACATGAAAGCAGCTATCGACAATGTTCAATAAGCTAATGGAGTAGCCTGATGCCAAACTACTACGTCATTGCTAAAACGACACGTTCGTACAATAGGGCTCAGCGACTGGTTTATGGATGTAAAAATGCCATTCAGAATCTCCATAGTGAAACTGATTTTTAACAATACCTGATAAATATTTTAAGACAGCCTTAATATAACTCGAAGTTTAAGTGCTGAAGTACGCCTCCATAGAAACCATTAGCCTGCTTCTTTTTTTAGTAAATCGGAATTAAGTGAAATCCACTAAGAGGACAGTTACCATGGAAATGACACTAAAGTTCACTAAATTTCCCACCATTACTATTTATTTATTTTTGGATCTTTTTGCTTTGTATCAAATGTTGCAATTATTCAGCTGAGAGTTGTCTGGGTTTCAAGGCTTAGAATTGTGTGGAAATACAAATATTTGAATTTGGCTTAGAATAAAAAGTGTGCAGTCACTGAGTTCTACAGTAAACACACCAGAAGCTTGAACAATAACAGTAAATACCAGAACGAGAGATTCCACATCACATTAATGATTAGGTCAGGAAAAATATAAATGGTCATGAGAAAGAAAACAACCTGACCTTTACAGAGCCCATCTCTACTGTCTGCAGCACTCTGGGGTCTATCTGGAGGACAAGTCTAATTTCATAAACAGGGCTTTAGCTCATTAAAATTGACCCGTTTCTTCCAGAGAAATACACGAGATAGCAACTTGTTGAATGAAGGCTGCTTTTGCAGACAGGATAAGATAAAGAGCATTTGTTTTAGCTGACCCATATGAAATGTCATTGGTGTGGGGAGCTGAGCTACAGCTTCAACATCCGTCATTTAAACATGGTCAAATGTTCATGTTTTTGAACCTTGTTAATATTTATCAAAGAATAAAAAAAAGAATAAGAAGAATCACAACTGTTTTCTACATTTATAATAATGTTACTTGAGCACCAAATCAGCATATTAGAATGATTTCTGAAGTATCATGTGACACTGAAGACTGGAGTAATGACTACTGAAAATATTACATTAAAATACTACAGAAAACAGTTTTCGAATTGCAATAATTGTTCACAATATTACTGTATGTACTGTATTTTTGATCAAATAAATGCAGCCTTGCTAACAAACAAACAAACAAAAATCTTGCCAATCTCTTAACTATTTCTCTAATGGTAGTATATACAGTGGTGTGAAAAAGTGTTGGCCCCCTTCCTGATTTCTTCTTTTTTTGCATGTTTGTCACACTTTAATGTTTCAGATCATCAAGCAAATTTAAATATTAGTAAAAGATAACACAAGGGAACACAAGGGAACACAACATGCAGTTTTTAAATGAAGGTTTTTATTATTAAGGGAAAACAAAATCCAAAACTACATGGCCCTGTGTGAAAAAGTGTTTGCCCCCTAAACCTAATAACTGGTTGGGCCACCCTTAGCAGCAACAACTGCAATCAAGCGTTTGCGATAACTTGCAATGAGTCTGTTACAGCGCTGTGGAGGAATTTTGGTCCACTCATCTATGCAGAATTGTTGAGAAATCAGGAAGGGGGCCAACACTTTTTCACACCACTGTAACTGTTTCAAAGGATAGCTCATAGTAAACATGGTCCAAATTTGTTGACTTTCAAAGTATGGGGGAAAAAACAGCTGAAACATTCTTCAAAATATCTTCTTTTGTGTTCTGCAGAAGAAAAAGTAATATTGTCTGGAATGACAGGAGGGTGAGTAAATTTCATTTTTGTGTGCATTATCGCTCTAAATTATCATTACTTTTCCTGCTGTTTGATTAGATAGCATATTATTATGAACATAGACCTTGTTCCTGCTCTTCAGCTTCTAAAAACGACCTAGTGTTTCAAACCTTGTGCAACAAATACAGCTATACCTTCAACTGAATTCCTTGTCGAGATTGATTAAATGTTCAAAGGTAGCTAGCGCTCATCTGTTGTGATAAACACAGTCTCTGTCTCTTGGGCAGGACTGATGAGACAATCCCGTAGCTCTGCAGGGGCCATCTGTCACAAGATGCCCCAGGCTGCAGGGCTTTTCTATAAAGACATCCTCTTGCTTTGCATGATTTACACATGGGAAAAAACTCTGCCTCATCTGATTTTTGAAGGGTGGAGTGGGGAAGGAGGAGGATAGCAAGAAAAAATGCAAAGAAAACTTGCCATCCTCCTTCCCGGGGAAGTCGTGGCCTAATGGTTAGAGATTCGGACTCGTAACCCAAAGGTTGTAACCCCAGATGTCATTAATCATAATACTCAACTATTTTTTATCACAGTATCACAAGTAAACAAACTTAGAAGTGATAAGAAAAAATTATCTTCTAAAATGAAAGAAGGCAAATTTATTAAACAACATAATCCCATGTGTCCCCCCAATATCTCATTAAAATCTTTTTAATATAGCATATTTTCTTGGGAATATTTATTGATTTATTTTGTAATATCCCTTTAAAATGTGTCAAATTTTGGTTTGTGGCATTGGTTGGTTTGTGTCTTCAAAATTCAAAAGATACTTTAAAAAAATATATCAATTAACACCAAGCTGACTGTCAATCCCTCACTTAGCAATTATTTTAGGTCTTTATTTCTATCATGTTAGGCATCTTGTAAAGTTTCTTGTCATTTCTTGTAAAGTTTAAGTGCCTGAGCTTAACCAGAGCATATTTATGAAAACCTGGTGTACTCTTTTAGAAATCACAATTTTATTTTTCACAATTATTTATTTTTTAAAAATTAGAGAGTTCAAAAGGTACTGAATAACAAGTTGTCCAATAGTAGTACGGTCTAGAATGTTTATTACCCTCAAGCACGAGTGCAACATACACTCAAATAATAATCAATAAGAGATGTTTTCCAAGGTGTACAGTATGTGCACATTTTTTACCCTGTGGGGAAAAAAAAATAGAAAAAGGCTGACAGTACCTAATTTTGCAAATATTTTATTTGTAATTTATAAATATATCTATTTTAGACAATTTTAGTCTTTTTAGCCTCAGTGTCTCATAGAGCACTTTAAACACAAGCCTAAATCTAAATAGCATTTTAAATGTGAATGAAGTTCACCCAAAAAGTTATTTTAGGATGTGTTGACTGTAACTATGCATGACAGCATTTAACAGTGCTGAATGTTCAGCAGAGCTAAAAGGGGTGGGGAAAAAAGACGAACTGAAGTTATGTTTGCCCATCTTATCCTGAGGGCTCTGAATGTGTTTGTTTAGAGTCTTCGTTATCATAATTACACTACCGTTCAATGACCGGCATGCTTTATCATTCGTTTACAGCGGTCAAAAATCACGAAGTACCACATTTCTCTCCTCTAAGATCTATTCTTCACTATATGCACTGAGCAACTTTTCAACAAAACTGCTTTAGCTTTCTCCTCCAGTGCCTCTAATTCCATTAAACTCATTACAATAAGTGAGCCACACCAGGCTTCAGCATGCAGAAGCCATAAAGCAATGATTGGGGTAATAATCCGAGCCTTCACTGGGACATTTTAGCGACTGTTTGAAGCAGCACCATTTGTGGTGCATCAGTCATTGGACATTGCTAAATGATGTGTTCGCATGCATATAAAGGAAGGCATTAAATATGTCTCTGTCTTCATTTTGGCAGACTGGGCAAGCTCATTAGTGGGGAAATAGCTGCCAGCTGGGTTTTCCTTAGGGAGTTGGCTTCCTTATACCAAGTTCTCAGGCAAAAAAGAGGCAATGTGTAACAAACTAATTCACCAAGTGAAATGATTCCAAAACAGAGCTCATAACAAGTCCCCATTTAATAGCCAGGAGGGGATGTTCCACTGCTTTCATAAATAAAAGATTAATTTCCAGAAGACTGGAATGTTTTAACTCTAACAGATTGGATCCACCTCCACTAGTTTCACTGGAAAATCGGAATAGTTTCAATTTAATGAGTGTAGCTTCGGGATGACACGAACCAGGCCAAATATAGTCAACTGATGCTTACCACATGGACTCTGTTTTTTGGGGGGGTGAGGCAATCAGTTCTGGTCCTGCAAGCCAATTTGTCAACAAAGCATTCCAGTTATGCTAAAATATACAGCTATGATGCAGATATAACAACCGTGATGTAAATCACCTTTTACAAAACTTTGATTAATGAAACTGCATACTTATTTAATGTTTTAATTATGCTGTTACCATTTATCACAAGCAACAAGGCACAAAAGGTTGCGTAACTACAGTCACATTTGCACAGATTGCAGGTAATTGCAGTGTGCTGACTCTTCATTTGTGAATTTTACAAAAAAAATATTGCAGAAACTTATTGCATAATTTCTTCCTCCCTTTTTGTCATGGGAATACCCTGGTTATCACTTGCATGAGACTCCTATGGGCCAGAAATGACGTGCAAGCCATGCAACCAGCCATTAGATGTTTTATAGATGAAACCTGATGATACCTCCTATGTTGACCCACCAATTTAGGAGTGTTGTGGTTAAAGATTGAAATGCTTGAGGATGGTTGGACACCAGCTGATGATACCAGCAAGGATGAGGCATCTAATGATATATCATCATCCTAAGCCAAGAGTGAATTCACTTTTGCAAATAACTTATCTTTTGTATTTTTCACAATCAGCACCCAAAAACTAGAAAGGTTTAAACAAATATGAGGAGGAGGAGAACACCTGCAGCAATAAATCCTCATGATAAAAAGACAAAGATTTCAGTGACATGCTATACTATCACAGATAAAAATGGTATCACAGTGGCTCTCTTTTTATTAAAATTTTCTTCTCTTTATGGCCAGTCTTGGCTTTATATGGGATTTTATTACATGGTCAGGTTTTCACAAAATGGTATGCAGCCAAAATGTTTGAGATAACACTATAGCTCATAAATAAATAAAAAAAGTGTTGAAGCTACTGCAGAAAGTGATATAGTGATAGCATATATTAAAGGTCAATGTTTTTTTCATTAAAGAAAAAATGCTTACTGACTCCAACCTGGCAGCTGAAAGATTTTATGATTACCTAGAAGAGAAACAAAAAGATATATGATACAGCAAAATGCAAAATAGCAATACATCTGCTAAATCTATGAATTGTCATAGTTTAGCCCTGGATGTATCAAAGACAGTCTGGAAGCCTCTATCCTTTTTCGCTGTGTGAGTGATTTGGACTGTCTGAGGCCATTTCCCTGTCTGCAGCTGATTTGACAGGCCTCTCAATTGTTCCCTTGACAGCATGTCACTGGTACCAAACCAAAAAGCAGCTTAAGGCTGACACACCACACAATGCTTATGCCTTCTACTGCACCATCAGTGCAAAACATATTCCTTTTCCTAACCATAAATCATAGTCATTGTTTTTCCTAATGTAGGAAGGCGACAGCCTCATATCATCTCAACTAAAATAACAACATTCACAATTCATGTTTCAGACAAGAAGTGGAGATATCATCTTTTTGCCTTGTTATCTTGTTATATTAAGGAAGCATGAAACTGACACTGATAAAATGCTAATGGAATTTTCTCTGTTTACCTGTAGGCTTGTATGGTGCTTTAAAAAAACAAAGTCAACATCAACCTAAAGGTATAGTTCACTCGGAAATGAAAATTTTGTCATCATTTACTCACCTTCATGTCGTTCCAAACCTGTATGATTTTTTTTTCTTCTCTTGAACATAAAAGATATTTAAAAAAAGTTATTTTCTCTAGTTGAAACTTTCTTCAAAGTATTTTCTCTTGTTCCACACAAGGAAGAACTGAATTACAAACAAAGGCAATGACCAAACCATACGTCTAATGCTCAAAATGCTGTGCATTTAATATTACATGGCCAAAATTATATAAAATGTGTAAAAAGTTAAACAAATTACACAATTCTCACATTTTACTAACTTCTGTTTTTGCTTTTTTTAAATGTGGTTCTGAAAATGTAAGACAAGTAAAATCAACCAATACAAGAGACAGAATGAAATGCATAAATAAATAAATAAATAAATACATAAATACATAAAATATCTAAAACTACTGCGATTACCTCTTGATGGCCTTGTAGCAAATGATGGCAGTCAGGAGGAGGAAGACCACAGATGCACAGCTTACTGTCCCCAGTACTAAGATCTCCATCTCTCTCCTCCATGGCGTTATGGGGGATACAGTGGAGGGAGCCACTGGAAGAGAGACAAAGTGTTAAAAAGCATGCAGAGCACAGAACAATAAATGAAGAAAGAGGATATGCAGGATAGGGATGTGCAAAACTGCATCAACTAGTGGGTCTTAAGGAAGCCCTGAAACAGCTAGACGAAGAGCAACGGAATGCTGGGTTCTCATTTTATTTTACACTTTACATGCCATCTAAAGAAAAATCACAATGCTCATGGCAAAAAAATAAATAAATAAAAACTCAACACAAAACAGTGAGATGGCCAAAGACACCTGTGTACATGTGTACATAGACCAACATTTATGAAGTATTTCTGGAGCTCAGTTATACAGCAAGATCACAGGTGTTTGTTATTTTGTTATAAAAGTGGTGCTTTGATACCTGTAGCAAAAGTACATTTAAAGATGCAAATTCACAGAGTACCTTTGACAGTTAGAAAAGACAGCTTCACTAGTTAATTAGTCAGTTGTTGGACCTGTCCCTATAATGTAGAGAACAGTACTTCTACCATTATCACTCTCATACTGGTCTCTTATACCAATACAGTCTGAGTGCCCAATCACAAGGCTGCAGCATTCTGCTCTACTCCATTTATCATTCCATATCCGAGAGGCGCTTTATTTGGACCATTACACAGCCGTCTCATCCAGAAACATATTAGTGCTTCAGGCTGCTCTACCTTTCCCACCACTTTAAAGTTTGGATGAGTTTTCTCTGGTTGGGAACTAATAGTGGCACCCTGCTTTAGTGAGCAGTTTTAATGGTACTTATAAAAATGCACAGGGGAAGGCTAATTAACAAGTTCATTGCCCTCATGAGCACACAGGGCTACTGCCTCTTCTCTCTCACTCTCCCTTCCTCTAGATCTTTGTTTCTCGCTTTCCATTATCGCATACCTCACTGTTTGCTTTTCTTTCTAAATACCTTTGAGAATTGAGCCTCAGATTCAGATGTATCTGTTCTGAAACTCTGGCTGTTGACAGTCAGTATATGGGATTGGCAACCACATTTATTAATAACTGAGAGTCTCAAATTCTGTTCATGTAACAGCTTACAGTAGCAGCTCAAATACTGTCTGTATGATAGTGACTGAAAAGGGGAAGCTGGTACCGGAGACCATTCTGGAATCATTCCATACATTTTCTCCTCCGAAAAGTCACTAAAGCTTGTTCTGGTCTTGAACAGCCTAGAACCAATTATGTCAAAGGCCAGGAGGCCAAAAACAGCTCAGTCGAGCAAGAATCACACAAATAAAACTATAATGCATGATAAATTCACAACCTGTTCCAATGTACATTACATTGCATAAAATCTTTTATAAATATGTGTGAACATTTGGGGGCGGTAAGAATTTATGTTTTTGAAATAACTCTTCTATGCTTGACCAAGCCTGCATTTGTTTGATAAAAAAATACAATAATATTGTTAAATATTTTTACAATGTAAAATAACTTTATTGTAATATATTTTTTAATGTTAGCTTAAATATAAGTTACATTTTTAGCAGCCATTACTCCAATCTTCAGTGTCAAAGTGATTTCCTTCAGAAATCATTCTAATATACTGATTTGGTACTCAAGAAACGTGTCTTAATATTATCAAGGTTGAAAAGCATTGTGCTACTTAGTATTTTTGTGTAAACCATGATCAATGTTTTTCAGTAATCTTTGAAAAATTGAAAATTCATAACATCTATTTGAAATAGAATTTTTCTGTAACAATGCAAGTCTTTGCTATCACCTTTGATTAATTTAATGGGTCCCTGATGAAAAGTATCAATTTATTTAAAAACGAAAAAAAAAAAAAAATCTTACTGACCTCAAACTTTTAAACGGTTTTATTATTATATTATTATAATAGTATATGTGTGAACTCATTACACTCATAAATTCTTACCCGTTGCATCAAAATCAGCTGGTAATCTTAGATGCGCTGAATGAAACATTAAACTTCATAGTTAATCATAATTCATCAGTAAATCATAGTTAAGGAAGTTAGTGAAAACGTGGGTCAGTTTTGAGAAAGGTTCACCATTCTTAACAGCTGAGCACTGGCTCCAGCACAAGAATCAGCATTATTTCAATGGAAAAGAGCAGTGGTACACTGTGACACAGAAGAAATACTACATCACTCTCTGTTATTTCTCATTATTCTCACAAACCTCCCATTAATTAAAGGGAGTGAGGTATTAGCCAGGCGCTTCAGAGTATAAATCACTGAATAATTGTCCCTTGGGTCGAGACCAATGCATCAGCAACTTCATATGGGCTTCTCTCTTGCGGTTTATCATCCTGATCGATGCACCCAAGCCTCACTATTTTAATTTAGAACGGACGGAAGAAACGCAAACATATAACTGCGGAAATAATTCAAAGCAGAAAGTAACTCTTGTATTGATTACCAAGTCAGATTTTTTACTGATGAACTTTGACACACCCGGAAATCAAAATACATTATAGAGAAGGCAGAAAGCTTCAGGGCAAGTGAACAGGTCTAGATGAAGATGACCTCAGTGAACTTATTTAAATGTCAAAGTAGACTTGTTCATTTGTAAAAACATCTACAAGAGAACGTATACTGGTTGATTACACATCTTTAATACTTACATTAAGACACCATACTGCAAGTACATTTCCCAGTAATTTTATTTCCTCCTTATTTCAACACAAAATTTGTCTGCTTGTATAGGCTTCTCTGTGTCTTCTGCTCATGCTCTCTGTCTGATAACTTTTTTTTTTTTGACTAATATTTGATAATGAGTGTACTGTCTGCATGGAAGAATGGTCTGTCCTCAGAAGATTCCTTAGTCTCAGATGGCCCAACACATGTTTAACATGTTTATGTGTGTGTGTTTAACGAGAAATGATGGCTGCCCCAAAGAGATGACCTCCAGTGGCAAAGAACGTCTAGCTTGAGCGAACTCAGTAATTGGACCCTTGTGCATCTGTAGGGAATGTATGGAGCACGCAATGGGAAAAGGGACACTGTGATCCAAAAGGAGGTGCTTAGACTCTTAAAAGGATGAAAATTCTGTCATCATTTACACATCCACTTGTTGATACAAAAGATACATGTCTCTGTACATTTTTGTTCATACAATGAAAGTAAATCGGACCATTATATTGAAAAAAAATGAAATATTCTTCCACATACCTGCTCTCGCATTCTGCAGAAGATAGTAAGTCATACAGGACTGGAACAACACAAGAATGAGTTTTAATTTCTGGGTAACTATCCCTTTAATCTTCAAGAAGATGCTTACAAATGCATCCCTTGAGCTACAAAATTAAGTCAATCCATGTTTTCAAATAAAACAATCAAACAATGAAATTGTGCAGGACTGAACTTATTTAGATTTTTTTATTTATTTATTATTTTAAATATGTCAACTCAAGTGAGGACTTTAAAGTCGGCATGAAACGGAAGTTACGATTGTCTTTTCTTCCCTACTGTGACGTATATCCGAGTGAAACGGCATCTGAAATGAGAGGGCGGGACTTGATTTCATCCTTCGGGAATTGATTGGATCGTTGGAAGGTGGGGCGTTGCAAACAAAATGGAGGCAGATCTGAATGCCAGTTTGCAGTTGTAGGGGATTTCTCTCCACTGGATTCACAGCCGACACCCAAGCATGAATAAATGTTTTAGTTATTAAGGATGACGAAGACGATCAACTGCACAAAACATGCCTAAACAGCGCGCGAGAGAGAGAGAGAGAGAGAGAGAGAGAGAGAGAGAGAGAGAGAGAGAGACTCCGTGAAAAGGATGACGACGACGATCAATGGCACAAAACATGCCTTAACAGCGTGCGCAAGAGAGAGAGAGAGAGAGAGAGACTGCCTGAATGACTGAGTGCGTCCTCCATCAGGTTTGGAGTTTGCCATTAGTTTGCGATGTCCTAAGAGTAATGTTTAGGGGTAACGTACTACCTCATGACTGGTGTCAGTGCTATAAAGTGAAGCATCAGCTTCAGCTTTTCCCCCTGTCGTTTATCCCAGTGCTTACCCCTCACGTCACTAGCTCCGCCTTTGCGCCATAGCTCGTGACCGGAAGAGAAGATGAGTCGTTTTGAGGGGGAGGTTAACGTTTTTTTTTTGATTAAAGATTGCGAGGGCACATGCATTTTTTTAAAAATAATGAGGTGCACAGTTAAATAATTTATAATAAACACTACAGTATTCCATTAAAAAATAAGAATTTTCAATTTTGATTTCATGGTGACTTTAAAGAATTTGTTTTTAATTATTATTATTATATTTCACTAAATATGTAATGGAGTTTGTTGGCTTTTACTGTTTTGTGAGAAAATTAAATGAAATTATCTTTTTAGCACCATTGTACCCTTTATGAAATTATTTTGCTAATATCCTAATTTTGCCCATATATGTCCCACAAGGAGTGTGTATAACCATAAGATGGCACTAATGAACCGCTTAGGACAGTGGTTCTCAACCAGGGGGCAAAGATGGCTTCAAATGAGATAAAACCAGCATTAAAATAAGCTAAGACAACTGAAAATCAAGATATTTCTTATCATAATTCACCCCTCAACAACTGTTTTTTTTTTTTTTAGAGAGAGAGAGAGAGAGAGAGACTGCCTGAATGACTGAGTGCGTCCTCCATCAGGTTTGGAGTTTGCCATTAGTTTGCGATGTCCTAAGAGTAATGTTTAGGGGTAACGTACTACCTCATGACTGGTGTCAGTGCTATAAAGTGAAGCATCAGCTTCAGCTTTTCCCCCTGTCGTTTATCCCAGTGCTTACCCCTCACGTCACTAGCTCCGCCTTTGCGCCATAGCTCGTGACCGGAAGAGAAGATGAGTCGTTTTGAGGGGGAGGTTAACGTTTTTGATTAAAGATTACGAGGGCACATTAAAAGTGCAATAGGTGATTGTCTTCAGAAACATTTTTTGTTCATGTTGTCTCTGGTATTCTGATCTGTGAGCGTAATATGCGTTCAGGGGGTGTGGCTTTGGACAGCGATTGCAGGGAGGGTGGGACGTTGCCT